TGGTTAGTTACTGGCTGAAAAAAACGAAAACGGTGAAATTGTAAAACGGTTCATACGTTAGAAAAAGAAATGAGATACGATTTTACATAAAATCGAATTGTTACACATCTTAGGATGTTATATTTATGTTTGTATTTTATATATCATGGGGCAGATTAAACCTGCCTTTAGCATTTGTTAATTTTAAGGTTGTGGAACAAACAAAACTAATTTTATTTAGACGAATCAGCCCCCTCCGTAGCTAATTAACTAGGGCGAAGTTCATTCCTCGCGCGCTGACAGGAGCACCTTTGGGAATGATTTTTTTCCACATTTTCCTTCCTATAAAGTGCCTTAGAAAAAAAAAAAGGCAAATAAGGTACAACAGTAATGAATCTGTCATAAAAAGCAACGGGCCACGACTAATGAGGGTAAGAAAGGTGTTATTATAAAGTATAATCAATTTACGCCGGAAATTAAGCGTAAACTAAAGTCGTGTCCTTTTTAAACATTTACTTTTTTTTAAGGGGATAAAAGGAATTTCCAAATGACATTTTTGAGGATTGACCTACCTACTTATAGGCCTATCACCATAAACTGGGCAGTGCAGAGACGGTATTTTCAAAAGTTTGTATTCATAATCTTTTTGATGCAAGCTACCGCGAGATTTGAACCTATGATGAACACAATATTACGAGACGACATCCACAGCTAAAGTAACAGCCTATATTTACATGTCCCACTGCTGGGCAAAGGCCTCCTGTATACAGAAGGTATCAGGGCATAGTCCACCACGCTGCCCCACTGCGGATTGGCGGACTTCACATATCTTCGAAATATATATATATATTTTTTTAAGAAATTTAAATTGTTTATAGTGCCAATCTTTGCACTTAAGATTGAACATTAAAATATGTAGAAAAATGTTTTCGCACTTTTTCTACATATATTAATTATATATTTTTTTGTTATTATTTTCGAAAATATGCCAGGTTTCCTCACGATGTTTACCTTCACCGCGGAGCACGTGATGAGTCAGCACTTAAAGTTAAAAACTTCATTGGTGCCGGCACCGGGGATCGAACTCAGGTTGCTCGAGTATATTGAATTAAAGGCGAGCGCCCGGAGACTGAGCTATCACGGCTTTCCACGGCTAGTAGATCCACAGCTAGTAGACGTTTAAATCGTTATATTTTACATCTGTTTCACAGCTAGTAAACATTTAAATCAATGGTTATATTTTACACCGGCTTTTTCTAAATGTAGGCAAGGATGTCTGTCCCACCCGTTGCAACTTATATACGTATAGAAGTCACGCAATTGCTTTTGCTATTGGACGTCCACGTCTGACGTTACTCGCAGAAGGCTGGCGCGAATTCGAAGTACTATTTGGCGTTTCGTCTGGTGAGTGAGGTATCTCGGGTCCGATTTTCGAAGCTTGTCAACGCATCTGCATGACCTCAGGTGTTGTAGATGTTTGTACTGCGGTATTCTCTTAAAGTCATGTTACCTTCCTGCTCACCTGACTGCTTTTCGCAAAAATTAGAAATCTTACGGTTACTTATGAAAATGTATCGTTCAAATTGTAATAATTTTCAGTGTCGTCCAATTATAGCGGAGTAAAGAGTTCTTTGTGAGCTGCTTGCACGAGTACAGTAAGCGACCTTTGTCCGAAGCGAAGGTCTCTAAATGAGCGTCTAGAACTTTCTATAGACTCGTGAAAAAAATCCCGTCTGCCGCCGCGGGCTTTGTCATTGGATTTGAAGTCTGGAGGGCCGGCCGCTTCATTTATTTCAGTTTTGCCGGAATGTTTTAGCGTTTTTCAGTAAAGTTACTTGATGAAAACACTGAATTGCTGATGATTAATTTTTTATTGAAACTTGTCACCAAATAGTATCTCTTATTTTATAAAGATATACGTCGTAAGATACAAACGTATGGAAAAAAATATTTCAAGTAAGATTCAGAATGCGATGTGAAACTGGTTACAAACAATGTAAGAGTGAAAAAAAATATAAAAATATCAATTTACGTACCAAAACAATTATTAATTTATCACTTTTTGTAATAGATTTCTTTAAAGCTTTATTTCTGACCAATCAGTATGAAAATAGGTAAATAATAAATAAACCTGTTTGTCAATTCTATAATTGCAAAGCATCATTTATTTATATTGTATCATTAAGGAAGTTTATTGTTACAAACATTACTCCCACTTTCGATTTCTGAAATGAACGCTAAAATACTTCCATAGAATAGTGCATGTATGAATATAGCGGTAAGATATCAAAGGTAATTTTTAATACACAATAAATATAAATTTAAAACAATTTAATACAAATACAAATTTAAAAGGTTTCGTTCAAGATTGTTGGAAGGTCAAATTCTTTTTATTGTATCCAGTTTCAATGAAAATCAGTTCTTTTTCCATATAAGAATGCTGTCTAGTTATTTTCAAAGATTTTAGATTGGGGTCAGGAAAAAAGCGGAGTAGAGTAAGCAAATAAAATAATGGTATTCAGAGTATTGACGTTGAAGAGAAAAGCGACACCATCAATCTGTTTTAAACTTTATAGTGCATACTTAACGAATTTATAGAAATATTTAAAATAAATGTTCCATTTTACTGTTGAATTTCATGCACTTTGTGGCTCCACATTGCTCAGTACCCAACTTCAAAGGACATCTCATTCAGATCGAAATAAAAGACAGTAGGGGTTCTTAGAATGCGCCTTTGTAAACTCACTTGTGTCTAGTTCATGAACGTCAATTTCTACAATTCCCGCATTATTCTCGATAAAGGTGGGGTAAAGCAAAGGAAACAGATATACCATTTATGAAAAAAGAGATGTTAATTCTAAGCCCCTTCTGCTCGAAGTGGATCATTGTAATTTTACCCGATACAAAATAATTTCCTGAAAAGTTTCTTTTAAATATTGAAAAATCAGCTAAGAAAGAACAAAATAATTTTGACATAGCCGAAGTAATTGAATTAATAAATATATTTTATTAAGGAAATATGCCGTCAGACAAGTTCGGACACAGGGTTTTTATTACAAGTAATAAGTAAGGAACTGATTATAAGAAATTTAACGGGTTTTCTGTGAGAACCGACGAAGAACGGAATAAACATCATACCTAGTTTAAGAATTCGCTATTTAATCGGCTTTATACAGGCAGATTGAACAATAGATATTTCCAGTATATTCCACAGTACTTGCATAAGCAAGTGCCGTGGATAACCACGACGTAAATTCTCCGGCGGCACCATCCTCGGAGAAATTAGTACGCTCATGCACAATGTAATGCTGAAAGCAAAGATATACCGGTTAAGTCTGGCTTCTAACATTTGTTTTTATTAGAGACGAGGAAGGCAACCCCCATTATAACGCTGCCGAATTAAAAGGGTCCAAACGATATTGCTATAACAGCCCTGAGAGCTCCCATCGCAAAATAGTAGCTTAAACCTAACAGGCGAATTTATATTGACCCAGCACTTTAGTGTAAAGGGCCTTGAACAAAAGCTGATTGCCTCGTTACGGTAGGAAGGCATAAAGTACTGTCATCTGCATAAGTGATTGTAGATTGCGATAAGTAGAAAAGTTCATGAGTCTAGCCAGTATAATAATCTTATTTATAGTTAGTATTATAGTTGGTATTAATAGTTGATGACTCCGTGGCGTACTTGCCAAGGTATTGGCTTCATCGTCGGGGGACGTGGGTTCGATTCCCACACGGATTTGTGCGTCCCACAGATAGGTAGTTGTTTCGCATCGGGGTGTTTGTCTACGTGAAATGTATGTTTGTAAAATGTCCTTACAACACAGGATAATGTCATCCTAAAGTAAGGGCAATGTTTTTTAAAAGAAAAAAACATTGCCCTTGTTGGGTACGTTATAGACTTTCTCTTTTAAATTTTTAAACCTCATGTAACCAATCTTGACTGAAACATTAAATCTAAGGATATATATTTAATCAGTAATTTATTTATTATATAGTTAATATATATATTATATTATATATATACTCTTCTTGTATAGTTCTATATTTTTGTATTTTTTATATAAAATTTGTTTGTTTGAATATTACGTTTAAGTAATGTTCTAGTCAGAATTTAAAACAAAAGACAGTTCACTAAGCATATACACATAACATAGTATGAGAAGAAAGGTCGTAAAAAGAAAAATATTAATTCTGTCACGATATCAGACATTCGCAAGATCTGTTGTTACAGATGTGACAGAATGTCTGCCTGGATGTTCCGGACACTGCAGACTCCGCACCACCCCAACTTTAGGTGTTGCAATATCGTTTAAAGGCTTTGTCGCCAGGGGGGGTGGTTGTAAAAATAAGAGGTCGCAATTAACGAGAATGAATTGAAGCTTTACGGCATTAAGTGTCGCCGGGGCGCGGGCTGTTTGTGAATTGCGCCGTTTTCGGATTCGCTGACGTTTTGAAAGATGGCGGCCGGTGATGTTTGCGCGACTTGAATAATTCGAGGGCTCCAGTTTGGATTGATGATGGGATTCCCTTGTTTACCTTTTCGGGACGACAAAAGGGGTGTGTGTTCGGGCGTTCCTTTGTCGCCGTAACGGCACCAATTTCGCATCGGGCGCGGCGTTTTACAGCTGTTGTTTTTATGTAAATATTTAGCTCTCTCCACGTCCGTGCTACCTTTTTTAATAGCTCCAAACGGAGATAAACGTATTATTGATGTGCCTCCGGAAAACATACAGCATTGTTTATGAAGAAGAAGCAGTGTATACTTAGCCATATAAGTGCGGTCCGTACTCTTGACGATAAAAATAAAGATGGCGGCACTTCCGCCACAGGTGTCAGGTGTCCCAGCTAGGACGAGGTAGCCGATGTCATTCTCAGAGCTCATAGCGTTGTGTACTTTCGTCGAGTGCGGTTGTCTTTTAAATCGGGTAGCTGCTTTAAATTTTATTTTCGTAAAAGTATTAACTTTTCGGATATTCATTTTTTTTTCTTCAACCTTTACTTTGAAATACGTTTTCGTTATGAATCGGACGCCAAGTGAGATTATCCATGAAGCTGCCGCTAAGACCAATCAGTCTGTCGGGTCGAACTCTCCTATTTCCGAAAGGGATACATGTTTGGAAAAGGAGGACTCTTCGGGCAATAGCAGTTCATCGGACAGCTGTGCTGAACAAGAGGAACCTCCATGCAAGAAACAGAAAACGCAGGTAATCATCGATCCTCGGATCGACGCGTTATACAACCAGGTGAGTTTTCTTACTAACCTAATCATGCATCAACAATGTGTACCAAGTACAAACGTGAATGTAAGTAACGTAAACGAAAAAACAAATGATACGCACAGTGACTTCCTAACGAATCCATCAATAGAAAGACCTAAGTCATTAGATTTAGGGGACTGTCAAACAAGCTTTGACGAGAAAAAAGTTGAAAAAATTGCAAATGAAAAACGGTTGCGTCAATTAATAAATCTCCAACATTTAAAATGTTGGAGATTTATTGGAGATTTATGTTTAAATGTTGCCACTCCAACGTGGCAACACATCCGTTTTAAGAAGGCCTTAGTGGATATGCTCGCGTCTCCGGGCTTTTGTAATTTAAAAATAAACGACGAGCTGTGTTGTTTAGACAGAGGAAAAGATTACTTGGCCTCAACAGAAGAGATTATGGCTGCAACCACCAATGCCTTGTTATTTCAAAGGGAACTATTGCAATCCAGTTTACAGGAAATTATTAATTGGGCTCACGATAACCCGACGGAGCTAATGATAATCTTTTTAGTAAAATCTCTGCAACATTTGGTAAGGAATCACCATCTTACAAATTATCTGAACAAATTTTACAAATAATTTGTGGTAAAAGGGCAGAATGCATAGAAACAAGACGTAAATGATTAATTGATGAAATTTCGGAAAAAAGTATTCAAACTGCACTTCGAAGTATTCCACCTAGCGAGGAATTTTTATTTGAAAAAACAAGATTGACGTCTCTCATTCAGTCCCTCGGAAGTCTCTCAGGCCTCGCTTTTGGCTATCAACACCACAAGCTCTGAAAACGAAAGAGCATCAAAAATCTAAAGAACCGACACCATCTACCTCCAAATACAAACCTCAGGCACAAAACAATAAAATTGGTTTCCGAAATAATTATAAAATGCAGCAAATGAAACAAACGCACAAAGGAAAAACCGACGGTTACAAACAGGCCAAGAATTATTCATTTCGTAACAAAGAAGGAAAAAAGTGACTATCCGACACATTTCAGGGGAGGTCGTTTAATTTCGTACAAAAACCGTTGGGAAGCACTGGGTATGAACAAATTTATAATATCGGCAATCACGGAGTCTCGATTACCCCTCTACAAAAAACCTCCTCTATTAAGACCAACCAGACACATTATGACGCAATACGCAACGAAGCCGTATCATGCCATGTGTCAGATATTCAAAGACCTCTTAAATCAAGGTATTTTGCAACCAGTCTTCAAGAAAACACCCAGTTTTGTCTCCAGACTTTTCTGAGGAAGAAAGGCGATGGATCAATGCGGCCAATCTTCGATCTACGAGAGTTGAACAAATTTGTGAAAACAAGGCAGTTTCGATTGATCTCTCACTGCCTCTGTGCCAGATTTTCTCCAACCAGGAGACTGGATGATAAAAATCGACATATCTCAAGCGTACTTCCATCTACCAGTAGCGAAATCTCACCGCCCGTTCTTGAGAATCAGTTACAAAGACCAGTTATACGAAATGACATGTCTCCCGTTTGGGCTGGCTTCAGCGCCACACCATTTCTCCTCTGTAACATGCTGGGTCGCGGAGACCTTGCGTACGAAGGGATGTCGAGTTCTAGTCTACCTAGACGACTTCCTTCTGGTCAACCAGGACCACTCCAAGTTATGTCTTCAGGCCGCGGAGGCCGTGAGGCACTTGGAACATCTGGGCTGGTACATCAACCACCAGAAATCTGTTTTAGTACCAACTCAAGGTTTGGAATACCTTTGCATACGATGGCATACGGCAGCAAATGCAATGTCATTGCCAACAAAGAGGAAACAAAGTGTAAACAGCGTGTTAGACCAGTTGTTATTAAAAAGATTGATTTTTTAGACCTATTTCAGTACTACCGACTCTTAGTAAAATTTTTGAAAAAATTATTTTGAATCAAATGTTACTCCATTTTAGTACACATAAATTGCTGCATAACAAGCAATATGGATTTACTAGGGGTCGCTCAACAACAGATGCGGGTATCCAGCTTGTGAAGAATATTTTTGAAGCCTGGGAAGAGTCACAGGATGCCTTAGGTATATTCTGTGACTTAACTAAAGCATTTGATTGTGTACAGCATGACACTCTGGTCAGGAAACTAAACCACTATGGTATAAGAGATGCCGCACTCAATCTTCTGACATCGTACTTGAGCTATCGTGTTCAGAGAGTTGACGTGAATGGCAAGAGATCTCCCGGGGCCCTGGTAAGTATGGGGGTTCCACAGGGATCTATTCTGGGGCCTTTTCTCTTCCTCATCTACATAAATGACCTGCCCTATCTTGTAAATAATGATCATGAGATAGTATTGTTTGCTGATGATACTTCTTTAATTTTTAAAGTTAAACGACATTCTTCAAATTATGACGACGTTAACAATACTCTCTCCACTGTAGTGCATTGGTTTAGTGCTAACAACTTAATGTTGAATAGTAAAAAAACGAAATGTATTAAATTTACAACTCCCAACGTAAAAAGTGTAAAAACTGATGTACTTTTACATGGGGAAGCGTTAGACCTGTATTTCTTGGCATAACCGTAGATGCCAAATTGCAGTGGGGCCCCCATATTAATAAACTGTCGAGTAGACTTAGCTCAGCAGTCTTTGCAGTCAAAAAAATTAGACAGTTGACTGATGTGGATACGGCTCGTCTGGTATATTTTAGCTATTTCCACAGTATAATGTCTTATGGCATTCTACTTTGGGGGAAATTCAGCCGACATAAATACTATTTTCATCCTGCAAAAGAGAGCTATTCGAGCGGTTTATAACCTGGGCCCCAAAGACTCACTAAGAAACCTGTTTAAAGAAATAAAAATATTGACTGTAGCTTCTCAGTACATACTTGCTAATGTTATGTATGTCCACAAAAATAAGAATGACTTTTCAAAATTTAGTAATGTGCATGATGTAAATACTAGGAACAAGCATAAATTAGTTCTACCCTCAACTAGATTGCGTAGAATAAGTAAATCTTTTATGGGACAATGTATACGCTTTTACAACAAAATCCCAGAAAACGTTCAAAATGAATCTGTTGCTAAATTCAAAAAACTTGTAAAGGAACGTTTGTGTGTTAATGGCTATTATAGTATTAGTGATTATATGAATGATAACACACTCTGGAAATGAATTGATCGCTCCAGGCTCTTTCAAGTGGAGTTTAATAGGAGTCTAATAATTGTACACATATTTGTAACTTTTTTGGCAAGTAAAAAAAAAAAATAATGTCCCGCTGAGTTTCTTACGCCGGTTCTTCTCAGGTCAGTGGCTTACCTTCCGAACCGGTGGTAGAGTTTTTTGACTATCAATAAGTAAGTGAATGCTTCTATATTGAATAAAGATATTTGACTTTGACTTTGACTTTGAAAGACACATAAATCTTCGAGAGCTGCAAAGCTTGCTAGGCCAGTTAAACTTTGCGAATTTTGTCATACCTCGAGGGAGACTCCATTGCCGCAAAATGCAAATATTTCTGAGACATTTCAACAGGGCACGACCCCGTCAAAAACGGCCGATTCCTCAAGTTGTTTGTCAAGAAATGATGTGGTGGCGCGGAGCCACAAATTACACATTGCCTGTGCACAAAAAACCTGTGACCCACTTCTTAGCGACGGATGCTTCGGATTGGGGTTGGGTTGCACATCTAGACTGAAAACTAATGTCAGGTACATGGTCAACTCGTCAAAGACGATGGCACTACACAAGAAGGAATTATTTGCAGTAATAGCAGCAATCAAAGGGAATGTAAGGGCACTGCAAAAGTCACATGTGCTAATTCAATCAGACAATCGGACCCTGATTGCGTACATTCGAAAGGAAGGGGGAACCAGATCTTTAGGATTACTAGCCCTAACCTTCAAATCTCTTACTTCTAACAGACAAGTTCGACATAACCCTATCAGCCCACTATTTACCAGGAAGATACAACATAATAGCGGACAGGCTACCACGAGAAAAAAAGCCCGCGGACATCTTCTGCCTCCGGTGACAGCGGAAGTCTTTCGGAAGTGGGGTCTTCCAGAGATAGATCTGTTTGCAACAAAAGGGACTGCTGTAGTAAAAAATTATGTATCACTGGACTGCAGAGATCGATCTGCAAGCTATATAGATGCCTTCAGCAGACCATGGAAACACCGGCTGGCATGGGTGTTTCCTCCTCCCAGCTTGTTGCCCAGGGTTCTGTCACACCTGAACAAGGCAACGGGAACTTACTTAATCGTAGCTCCGGAGTGGCCTCGGGTGTTCTGGCTTCAAGACCTGAAGTCCAGAGCGCTAGATCACACACACGATCTTCGGAATCTGTCGAAGACCATGCTAGACTTCACAACATTACAGCCTCCCCCACAGGTAGACCTTGACACACATTGACCTTGAAAGTCTGGAAAATTGGGGGTGGGGTGCCCAAATAAAAGAATGGTCTACAGAAGAGAAAAAACTGCTAAAGAATAGCTGGTGACAATCTACCTTATTAACATATTTACCAGCACTTAGGAGATGGATAACATGGTGCTCCAGCCGCCAAATAAACCCAAAATCTCCCCAACCTGTCGATATTGCCCAATTTTTAACGTTTCTCTTTCTAAGAGAAAATTTGGCATACAGCACCATCCTTGTACATAAATCAGCTATCTTAATATTTTGCGGGCCCCACGTTGAACAACAAACATTCTCACATTTTATTATAAAACAAATTCTTAAGGCAATAGGAAATGCCAGGCCAAAAACAGTAAAACCTTCATTTACGTGGGATCCACGGATCGTACTGGATTGGCTTTCAACAAACCCACCTAAAGACACATTATTTGATTTAGCACGTAGAACTGCCACAGTCCTTCTGTTGGCTTCGGGTCGCAGAGTTCACGATCTAACTTTGCTCAAAATATCGAATGATAGTTTTCTAGACAGTGGAGAAAATATCTATTTTATACCAGCTTTCGGATCAAAAACAGATACCTACAATTATCGACAATCTGCATGGAAGCTATATTTACATAATGATAAGAACATTTGTCCAGTCACCTTAGTAAGGCTGCTTATAGAAAAAACTAGAACAAGAAGATCTGAAAGTGGTAATTTAAAAAACCTTTTTATCACAGTATGTAATAAAACCAAAGCCGCCTCACGTACAGTAATTGGGAACTGGGTACGCACGGTTCTCAGAGACAGTGGAATTAATGCATCTCCAGGAAGCTGCAGATCAGCAGTAGCTTCCTTAAGTTGGCTAGATCACCAATCAATAGACGACATTCTATCACGGGGCAATTGGAAATCGCCTAACACATTCTTTAATCATTACTGCCGCGAAATACAACTCCCTAAAGAAAATCGTAACTTATTTTTCAAGACATTTACTACATCATAAATTATTAATTCACTTTAATTATAACAATAAAGTCAAACTGATTTAAAAACTTAGAACATGTATAACAAGTATGGATTGATTAACATGTCCTTCTTTTTTCTTTTGAGCTTTAATTTCTCGAAAGCTCACATATTTGATTGTACTGTTCATTGTATATAGGTAATAATATTAATAACAAATAAAGAAGTTGTTACTACATACTATTATAACCATTTATTTCATTTCAATTTCAGATTAAGCCTTTTAATTAATCATCATAGCGTTGTGTGTTTACATATATTTCACCAGCAGATAACAAACACGTCTTCATAAACAATGCTGTATGTTTTCCCTCTCGGCACATAATATCGGTTTTATTTATATGTAAAACCGTTATATTCTGTTGAAATGTTACGCGTTTTTTTTAAATAGCAGGTATTTAAGGTTATACTGATTTAGTAGCATTTCATCGGAAGGCTTTGGCGTCCGGAATAGTTATAAAAGTAATAACATTTATCACCTATGTCTGCAGCTACAGGAAAAGTTAAGTAGCCATGATGATATAAATATATCAGAAATAACTTAGGACCCGGTTTTGCTATGCTCAAAGTTTATATTCAGTTATAAGTTTGGGCATTTGCATCGAAGACGTGTATATATTTTTTAACTCTGTCCGTTCATGTTAGTAATGTAATGGTAGTTTTAGATGGGGATCAGAATTTATTTAAATCCTTACACATGAAATAATTAAACCCGAAATGTCGTATGTATACGTTGTAACACTCGTGATTGCTATTCCGTCATGTGACCATATCCTGTAAAATAGAGTCATCTAAGTAATTACTCTTAAAATACAATTTTTTTTACTGATCGATAAAATTCATAAACTAGTGTATTTAACAAAAATCATTGCTATTAATTTGCAGTGAGCTATGAAATTATTATCGGTTTGCCCCCTGCTGTTGCACGAATAGCCATCACCCTATTTGCATTTCTACCTACCAAATCCGAGATGAAGATGATGACGATCATCATCTTCCTGCCCTCATCACACTTGGTCGAGATCGCTTGAGGTCAACATGTTGTTAATGATATTGGCATATCACTGGCCGTCTAATCAATCCTTAACCTTGAGAAGAAACACCAAGAAGATTAGCCGTAGATTAGACAAATACTTGGCCAATATGCTGATGGAACCCATGACCCTCGGCGTCGAAGCCAATAGCTCAGCAACTGCTCCATCCTGCTCCAGACGCGATAGCTAATTGCGGTACTAAATTTTCAAATCCTTGACGGCAGTTCCACCACAAATCCCAATCGCGCAGCACCAAAAAGGCAAACAGCATACTACGCGAACGGAAAATCCCAAGCGAACAATTCTATTCATTCCATCGGACTGTCGGCGGAATCTAAAATTAAACAACGACTAGCTAACAATTCCAAAGCTCATATCTACGTTATTGTTAGTGCCGTGTATAATTCACGGACCTATAACAATTCAACTCTTATCATACATAAGTTATAGCTCGTGAGGAGAGGCGAGCGTGTAAGTCGCTAACTGGAGTTATTCGAAACGCTTGCGTATACGTTGCCGACGGTATTACGATAACAGGAAACTATGACGTCTAACCCTGATCGCAGGTCAAGGTGCGAAGGGGTTCAGTACTCCGCAATGAGTTGATAGTGTACCGTGTACGGTCTGAAAATAAGTTGAACATCGCGTATGTTTTATTTTTCCTTTTGAACTTACTGTTTTTGTTACGAGTAAAGTTGACTTATTTATATTTTCTATTCACTTAGATCAATTGGAAAGCAATGAAATTGTGTTAAATGACTGTTATATTATGTGACGCCCCTTAATTATTTATCTTGGTCTGATGTCACATCCAGATTGACCCTTAGATGTATATAATATTTATGGCTTGCTATTTTATGTAATTTCAAATCATAATAACTTGAAGACGCATGTTCAAATCCCGCAGCATCTGTTTTGAAGGTTTTTGTTCATTTATCTAAAAAAAAATTACAATTTATAATAACAACGCGATGTTCTTTATAGTTGTATTAAAGATATTTATATATTTGCCAATCATATATTGAAAGATTTGACGATCCGATTTTCATAGAAGTTCCTGAACCAATGTCCAATCTTAAGTGCATTGCATCTCCACTAGTCGAAAAATATTGTTAGATGAACATTGTGTTTTCTATTGTCAGAGTGTGTTAACATTTATATCGTATATTTATTTACATATTTTTGGTATGTTGGTATGTATAGTGCAGTATTTACTTAGTTTGGAATAACGTTGTGTAAAAATTTATCCTGAAATATTTTAAAGTAAACCCTTATTCTAACTCGTACTTAATATACTAACTACTGCGTCAAATGGTCGCTAAGAGAGAGTCGTATAAAATACACAAAAGTTGAACTATACATCATTCGAACTGTAATAGATACTGCTAGTTGTAGTAGAATTTTGTCTAATATGCTATGACAATAAAAATCCAAACTCAAGACCAAAGTTCCTTTTTTACGTGTTTACAAATTCGACTCAGGATTGGCAGAGTGACAGAAAGGCTAGCCTAGGATGCGATGTGCTAAAGATAAGACTAACCGATTAAAGTCTTCGTTGAACAGTTTTACTAAACTTAAAAGGTGGCAATGAATCTGAAATGGTGTTGCAAACGGGTATTATTTACCAACAGGCGAACCGCCGGCCCATTTACCTCCTCTCCTTTTCTCGCACAAAAGGCACATTGTCTTGGACTTGGCGTGTGGACGGTCCACAAGTCGGCCGTCCGTGCGATGCATCGCTCCTCTCGCAACAAGTTAATTTATGCGCGCCGCGTGAATCGATTCATCAGGCGGGATGTACGGCTCGGACGCCCCGGGGCCGCATGACGCCTTCGGGCACGGGCGACCCGGAAATCGAACTGCGATCCCGTCGGAACGCAGACGCGCAGCTTTGCGCACCGGCCAGCGCCGAGTGGTGCGACGATGTTGTCCGTGGTTTGCGATTTGAGCGATGTATTAAAACAAAACAATGACAAAAAACAATGTCATATGCAGCTGCGAATAAGATTCGTGTAGGATGCCGACGTGTATACAAGCGACTTCGATGAAAAATGATGTTGTCTGTGTTTTGCGATTTGAACATTGTATTAACACAAATTCACATAACACACATTTTTCCTGAAGGCAAAATAGAAGGAAAACGGAGAAGAGGACGAAGACGAATAACATGGAGTGACAATTTGAAAAAATGGACAGTGTGACGTCAAGGACGCCGTCAGTCTTTGTAGATTGACGCAGAATAGAGAAGAGTTCCGTGTGGTGGTCGCCGACATCCGATAGGATACCCCAGAAGAAGAAGAAGATTAACACAAAACTGTAATGTTGAATATCACTCTGTTGTCAGATGCATGCGCGAATGATTCGTGATGAATGAAGACTTCTTTGCAAACGACTTCGATAAAAATAGGTGCTCCATACAGTTGTTTTTTTTTTCATGCGAGGACGTTTCAAACGAGCCGCCGCACAATAACATTTCTAACACCCATTACTGACGCGTTGCCAATTTTTAGTAAACTCAAAAACTCTACCACTACACGCCGTTCGTCTGTGAGGTCGTGGTGCTTACCCGGACGGACCTGCCCATTCGTGCAACAGCCGAAGCTGTTGAGCGTTGTTGTTGAACCGTTACCACAGTTTATTGCATGTTTTTTATGTTTGTTACCTCAGAACTCCGTCATTAATGAGTCGCGTTTCAAAATTGTTTTTGCTTTGGGTCAGGTTTAGTAGCCAGATGTTCAGATGTTAATTTTATTATTATTGAATTTTGGATTCCGGAGATATATACGAGTATGCGAATTCCCCAAAGCAAATAGATCACGTATAGTGTGAGATATATTTGAAATCGGTTTTGTTTTTTGTTAATAAAAATCCGTCACTTGTGTAATGCACGTTTAAGATCAATTAGCTTTCTAAGAAAAAATATCATAAAACATCTTTAAGCAATAGGGCAAACATCCTTCCTCCAATACTGAAATATAAACCTTTGTATCTCCTGAATGTTTGACCCGGGCCTAGACGAATATGAGTTCGCCGGAGGGATCCTCCGATAAAGTTCCTATAACAGGGTTTAGCAACAAAGTCTAGCGACACTGGCGCGTCTAGATTTTGCATAGCCAGCGCGATAAGCTACTTAGCGGAAGTAGCTGCACGATATCGATCTATACGCTCAGCCTCTGTGTATCTGAGCTGAAAATCAGTGTCCCGGCTAATGTTAGCGTATCGCAGATATGACGAGAATTCGTAATATGTTTTTCTCTTGTTAGAAATTGGGTTTGGGAGCATAACATTATCCTATGTTTATAGGCGCCTGCTTGAAGCCAATTCTGCTGCGGTGGATGTGGCCAAATACTGGTCGAACAAGATCTAAGTAGCTATTTTAACTCAAAAAGAAGAAGAAGATTACAAGCGCGTGTTAAACACTGGCCAACGATGAGATGGGATGTCCAGAGTCAAACATGCATCCCTTTGGAATTGAGTCTTTAGCTTTACAATAAAACCAATTGCATCGCTAATCAAGGATATAATATAGTGCTATCGTAATTAGAGAATATTGTGACTTACTGGATTCTCGCTTGATAAAACTGGACGAAATTTATTACATTACGTGCTTACTGAACCATTAATTATAGACTTATTACTTAGTCTGGTGTTTATGCGCACAAATTGTACACTTATTTATATCTACATCGTAACAATTATCCGCAGGTGCTTTAAAGTTTTATCTCGTCTTGGTATCGAACCAAACATCCGCCACGCCACGTTCTCTTTGCGCAGTGAGTGTTACAAAAGTTACATATATTTTTATGTGTGACTATGTTTAGTGTCTTCTAAAACGATAAAGAGAAAGATCAAAAACTTGTTTGCAATAGAGCACGCGCCTGTATATTTATGTTTTTGTCAAGTGATTTAAAAACCGGCCTAGTGCGGGCTGGACGTGTGCACGAAAGGCTCCGTAACTATATTATTTTATTTATCTATAAAAGCGGCAAAAAATTTAGTATTTGTTGGCTTTTTAGTATTTGTTGATAAAGCGACAACAGAAATACATCATATGTGAAAATTTTAACTGTCTAACTATCACACTTCAAGAGATTCAGCCTGGTGACAGACAAACAGACAGACAGCGGATTCTTAATAATAGGGTCCCGTTTTGCCCTTTGGATACGGAACCCTGAAATAGAGAGATTTTTATTATATTTGGCTACGTTATCTGGGCAAAGCTGTCCCTCGACGACTCAGATTGCCCCTCAGCCGCGGTCTTACGTGACGTCCTCACCTTCGTTTATTACTCCTGCCCACCCCTTACTCGGGGGGCGTGGTAAGTGGCCCGTAATTGTATGGGATAACTTAGATTGGCTTTTTAATTCCGCGGATTTGTTCCGAGTGGCGGAAGGTTTCGTCCACGCCGATTGGCGAGAAGTTTATGCGAGACGGAAAATTGTTATACATTCATTGAGTTTCTCCGCTCGCAGCTTGAAACGAGTGTCTTAACATAAACACGTGTACGCGAAATACTTGAATAGATGAATGAATGATTTATACAAATAAAAATTTGCTCTCGTATTTTTTTTCCAAACGCGCCATAGAAAGTGTAACTTCCAAAGTTGTCCAGTTTATTACCTAGATAACATTTATTTTAAAAACGTGCTGCAATCTGATTTAAGTTTTTAAGCTGAATTTAAAGAATTTAGAAAGAAAACTTTTAACACGAAAGTAAATCGCGTTGAACGCGAAACATTCGCTCCAACAAAAATCCATCCGCTTATTCTCGCTGAAATTGCGTGTTTAGGTAAAAGGTGAGGAGTTTGTTGAGACGCTCATAAATCCAGTGCGGGCGAGATCCTTGTCTACGTCACTTGGAAATAAAGATGTTCCCGCTTACGGGGCCCACTCGCGGGAGAGGCAAGGAGCTTGCGTCTTTGAAGGACCTATGCCAGAACAATTTTCTGTTAAGAGTACTAAAACATTTAAAAATCAATATTTTTTTTTAAATGTAAAAACAACATTGCCCTCACTTTAGGATAATATTATTCTGTGTTGTAAGGACGTTTTACAAACATAAATTACATGAGGAAAAACACCCAGATGCGAAACAACTATCTGTGGGTCGCACAAATATTTGTCCCGTGTGGGAATCATAAATTATCAGCTGCTAGAATATGTTCGTGGGGTTAATACTGTTGATACTGACGTAGGCCAAAACAAGACTATTGTACCTGTACTATTATATTGTAAACCGATTTTTTTAAAAAGAGCAACCGTTGAGTTTCTTGCCGGTTTCTTCTCAACAGAAACTGCTTTCCGAACCGGTGGTAACTTACGAACTTGTTAATTTCTTGTAAAATTTTGACGTTTCATAAGAACGCGCAAGCGTCTATGTGAATAAAGATATTTTATTTGAAAATGTTATTTGAAAATCGAACCCATGACCCCCGACGCCGAAGCCAATAACTTGGCAAATGCGCCACGGAGTCATCAAAGTATGGGCCATTATTACATTAATAAAAATTTTAACAAAAAACAAACGGACTTCAAAACAAATTAATATGCACTAACAAGTAAAAAGAATAATTGCGTATTCTTCTACAACTTAATAATCGACTTACTTTTTCTACTCATCAATATGTAGGTACGATCTTTGTGTTTACTACTTAAACGTCAATCAAGTTATTACGATAGTATAATGTAGTTACATTTACCGTTGTTTTTGGAGTCGGTGTCAGCCAAGGAAACACTATAATAGATCTACGCTCCCTTCCCGCCGCGGCCACGCTCTCTGTTAAAAACCTCCAGTTTTGGCATCCTCAAACAATACAGGAAATTACCGCTATCGTTTGCCTATAATTAATGGTTGATTAATTGTGATAAATTGTCGTGTCTGTAATGTCGTTTTTGTGGCGTTGGTGTGCAACCGCATACTGGAAAATTATTCGCGAGTTGAATAAATACGTGTTTGCTGAATAGAACGCACGTTTCGAAGATGGCCGGTCGATAACGCAAAAACTGTGCAGCTTTTTGCTTGACAACAATAAACCGACCCACCGACCGAGCTGCCTCTTTTTGATACTTATCGACTAGAATATACATCACTATTTTTACTATTAGCATAGTTTTAATGTGCTCATTAATAGAATCAAGAATAATGATAAACACGAACGTCGTCAAAATTCAAAGTTAGGTTTCCTTCAAGTCCTTATGATAGCGATATTATCGATCTCTTTTTACGATCATAAATAACAACCTGTAAAAAGGAACTATAAGGTACTAAAGTAAACACCTTTTTGCCTTCAATAATCCGGCATAATAACACTGGTACGGAACTCGAGGTTTTTTAAGCGTTAAAGTTTTTTTATGAAAAGTTGCCAAGCGACCGCGCTGTTCTGATGTTAAATGAATACGCCGATACGCCTATGGACATTTACTGCATTCGATGGCTTGATGATGCATTGACCTTTAAAATTGTGGACCCCGGTTACCTCACAACAGACAAAATGCGAAAGTTCATTCATATTACCACTTCACGTGGGTCTTCTGCGAGGCCATGGTACTTCCCCGGATAAACCTGCCCATTCGTGGAACAAACGCTGCCACAGTTAGTTCAACAAATAATGCTTATATCACTTTCCCGTAGATCAAATGATGTTCGTTTAATCGTGCAATTGCATTATGGGAGTGCAAACGTTATTTACCGAATAAATTCCACTCATGCATTTATTACCGCGCTCCTAGCGTTAAAGTTGTGATTTATTCAGTTCGAGGCAACTTTACAGCGCCATATACTTTAGTGCTCTCCAAGGCGGGGCGTGAGAAAAAGCGGACCGGTTTTATGAGAAATTATTGTGTAATACTCTCGTGATCGTAAGAAGCGGCATGCTAATAAGTTGGACTGCGTATCGTTCCACAATAGTAGCGGGGGAGCGCGGAACTTGAAATGCAGTGGTGTTGGTTAGCTGTTTAGCTGTGGTAGGGCCACGCAAGTCTTTACTGTTGCACGAATGGGCACCTCCGTCGGGGTTAGTACCACAACCTCACAGAAGACCGGCGTGAAGCACTTCTGCGTTTCGCCTGGTGAGTGAAGGTAGCCGGGGTCCACTTTATTTGAGGGTGGCAACGTTTTTGCCACCCTACGGGCGTTGCAGATGTCCATGGGCGGCGGCTATCACTTAACATCAGGTGAACTGCCAGCTCGTTTACCACTTACTCGCATAAAAGCACACGCTTCATCAATTCTTGTGGCCATAATGGTGTGAACATGGGCTGTGGCTATAAATCTACGATCTTATTTGATCAAAACTGGGCAGGTGGTTGACTGTATAAATTAATAATACGTGGATGGGAGAAGGCTAGTATGCCTTTTGCTTATTTTTGTCTGAATATAAATAAGAAATATTAATACATGTATACTGGCTAGCAATAAATCAAGCTTTCCGTAGTGGGCGAGAAAGAGTGAACAAATCTCCAATACGCATACATCCCATTACAAAATGTGTCCTTGAAATGTAAATCATAATCTGTCTTAATCCGATTAAGTCGCTGTCATTTTGAATAAAATAATTTTAACCTTTTGTTACCTATGTTCATAAACATAAGGTTGAAAGTGCAAGGAATGTTTCAAAAATGTTTTTATAAGTACTGTGTAACTGCTAAGAAATATCACACAGTGTATTAATATAAAGGACACTGGATTCTTACATGGTCCCGCACGAAATACTTGAACAAAAACCATTGTCTGCAATCAATACATTGTTAGGGTTGTAGACTAGTGTATCGCTGTTGACGTAAATGAAAAAAATAATTTCTTCAGATTCAGATTGATAGAAAAATTTGGTGAATTAATGGGACGTGGGAATTAATCACTGCCGCTTTTAGAATTCAAATATTTAATTATTTTACAACGAATTCAAGAATCCGTTTAGTTAATTCACTTCTTGAATCCTTACGGCGATTAGATGCAGAAACAAGTATTAATTGTTACTAATTATCATGTACACCCGCACTTATTTAAAACTTTAATATAATTTAAGAAATAAGTTTAACAATCAAAATAAATAGGAAAACGATAATTGTAATGCGAAATATACACGAAAATAAGAAAAGCATATTTGTTTTCCAAGAGATGTGTTAATACTTTGACTTCACGACGAAGTTTGGTACAGGTCTGGCCTATTCGTACAGCGGAATCGTTTACGTTAGCCGCTACTCCTCTACATAAATTATGTATAGAAAAATAGTTAAATTTTCTGATGAAAAAAGGAATGTACGGACATAATCATTAAGACATCATTTCATAATGGTTGAATCAAAATAAAAAAAAAGGTTTTAAAAATATTCTAAGTATTTTTTTTAAAACGGGACTGTGAAATT